GGGGAGCGATGTCCCGCGGGGAGGAGGAGGAGGAGGAGGAGGAGGAGATGAGGAAGCGCAGCCCGGGGTGACCCCCGAGGGGGCGGCGGAGCCCCCGGACCCTCCCGGTGAGGGGCCGAGCGGGGGAGCGGGGCTGGAGCCCCCCGGGGACGGCGCAGGGACGGGGAGCGGATCCCCCGAGGGACCGGGGGGACCGGGAGAGGAGCAGCGAGACCCCGGCGGCGACAGCCCGGGGGGCTCGGGGATGACACTGGGGGAGCCGGGAGGGGCGGACGAGCCCGAGGGCTCCGCGCCGGGCAGGGCAGAGCCCGAGGGAGAGGCGGCGGCAGCGGCGGGGACAGAGCCCCGGGACGCGGCCGAGGGTCCGAAAGGGACAGAGCCCGAGGACGCGATGGCGGCCCCGGCGGGGACGGAGCACGAAGAAGGGGCCCCGGTGGGGAAAGAGCCCGAGGACGCAGCCGTGGTTCCGAAGGGGACAGAGCCCGAGGACGTGGCGGTGGTCCCGGAGGGGGCAGAGCCCGAGGAGGCGGTGAGGGAGGAAGCCCCGACAGAGAAAGAGCCCGAGGAGGAGGCGACAGTCCCGGCAGAAGCAGAGGGGACAGCCCGGTTGGGGACAGAGCCCGCAGAGGTAGAGGGGACAGTCCCGTCGGGGATAGAACCCGGAGAGGGAACAGCTCCGTCGGGAGCAGACTCCGGAGAGGCAGAGGGGACAGCCCGGTCAGGGACAGAGCCCCCAGAGGCAGAGGGGATAGCCCAGTCGGGGACAGAACCCGCAGAGGGAACAGTCCCGTCGGGGACAGAGCCCGGGGAGGCAGAGGGGACAGTCCCGTCGGGAACAGATCCTGCAGAGGTAGAGGGGACAGTCCGGTCGGGGACAGAACCCGAAGAGGGGACAGTCCCGTCGGGGACAGAGCCTCGAGAGGCAGAGGGGACAATCCCGTCGGGGACAGAGCCCGGGCAGGCGCCAGGACAGGCGATCCCAGAGGGGACAGAGCCCGAGGACTCGTCGGGGACAGGCCCCCAGGATGAGGTGCAGGAGGCAGCCCCGACGGGCGCAGTCCCCGAGGAGGCTCTGGGGACGGTCCCCGAGGATGTGCGGGAGGCAGCCCCGAGGGAGCCGGTCCCGCAGGATGAGGGGCAGGAGGGAACCCCGGCTGGGACAGTCCCTGAGGAAGGGGCGGCCCCGGTGGGGACAGTCCCCGAGGGTGCGGGGCGGGAGGAAAGCCCGGCTGGGACAGAGCCCGAGGATGCGCTGGGGACAGTCCCCGAGGCTGAGGGGCAGGAGGGAGTCCCTGCGGGGACAGTCCCTGAGGATGCGGTCCGGGGGGAAGCCCCGTCGGGGATAGACCCCGAGGATGCGGTGCGGGAGGCGGCCCCGGCTGGGACAGGGCCCGAGGAGGTGCGGGAGGAAGCCTCGGCTGGGACAATCCCTGAGGATGCGGGGCAGGAGAAAACCCCAGTGGGGACAATCTCTGAGGACGTGGGGCAGGATGCGGCCCCGTCGGGGACAATCCCTGAGGATGCAGGGCAGGAGGAAATCCCGGCAGGGACAATCCCTGAGGATGCGGGACAGGAGAAAACCCCAGTGGGGACAATCTTTGAGGACGTGGGGCAGGATGCGGCCCCCTCGGGGACTATCCCTGAGGATGCGGTGCGGGAGGAAACCCCGGCGGGGACAATCCC